TAAAATTATTATTAATAAAAAGATTTTAGGTTGTTACATATTTTGAATTTGAATGTCCCAATGTTAAAATTTTTTCATATTTCTACTCTTAAAGAGACACTTATATGAACTGAAGATACAGCTCATTAGTAGAACACTGTATCTCAAGAATGCATCAGGGCCTAGGTTCAATTCCTAGCAACACACACACACACAGAGGATGAAGAGGAGGATGGAAAGAGGAAAAGGAGGAAGGATGAAAAGAGAAGAAGAGTCTAGTGAACACCATGTGTGCACTGGGCTGAGTTACTCCTGGAGACTATGGTGGGGACTATGAACAAAAATGAAAATGTTTACAGTTATGGATGCCTTTAATTATTTTCTCCTTCATGTATGACCAAAAGAAAAATTATCATGTCCCCTCAATATAGTACAAACAATAAAAGTAAATTGATACATTAAAAAAAAAAATCAAGGAGGCAATGGTATTTCCATTTTTTTTGTTGTTGTTGTTGTTTTTGGTCTTTTTTGAGACAGGGTCTCCCTGTAGCCCCAGCTGTCCTGGAACTCACTATGTAGACCAGGCTGGCCTTGAACTCACAGAGATCGGCCTGCCTCTGCCTCCCGAGTGCTGGGATTAAAGGCATGCACCACCACGCCCAGCGGTATTTCCATTTTTATAATTTAAAAAACTTATGTACAGAAATTAACAAAATTTTAGACTTAAGGAAATAGATGATTAAGTTCTTTTAAGAAACCACCAATCTCTTCACAAAATGAATCTTTAGTACAATTGGCATAGCCAAAAATATGAATGCCCTTAGCTAGTTTATATAAATCCTAGTCTGAACAGTTCAAAATAAAACTGTATGGGCCCAGTAGGGTAGTATACACCTTTAATCCCATCACTCAGGAGGCAGCCTCTGGGAAATCCAGGCCAGTCTAGTCTTCATAGCGAGTTCCAGGCCAGCTGGGGCTATAGGGAGACCCTATCTCAAACAAACAGACAAACAAAACCCCAAAAGCCCAGTATACCTTTTAAAGCATCCTTATATATGGTGATGAATAGTCTGAAGATGTCCTTAGGAACTGTATCTTCATTTGGCAAACACAACAATAGAATAATAATCTCTGCCTGTCCCAAGCCATGCAATCCATTGGTTGAGAAGAACCAATATTTATCTGAAGAATCTTGAGCAATAAAAGCATACAATTGTAAATGTCAATTTGTATTAACCTAAGAAACTAAAATTTGTTTTTGCATAATGCACAATTTATCAAATTCTTTATTCTTTTAAAAAATTTCTTCAGAAAAACTTTGAATTGTTTAGGTTCATGTAAGAAAAGACAATTATTTTAGGAAGTCAAGTAATAACACTAAGTACCACTAAAGTAAAAGATGCACTAAAACACTAAAATTCTGGAATGCATAGTCTTAAGAATTATAATAATTTTGGAGAATGAAAAGTAGATAAATGCATTATTGAATAGTAAGGATTATTCATTATGGAGGACTATTTATTTCCTTACTTTTAAGTAGTTACATATCATTGACTTTAAAATTGTCATAGTTGGGTATAGTGGCCCAGCCGTTGAGATGCTGGTTTGAGGCCACAGGTTTGAAGCCAGCCATATCTACATAGTGAGTTCAAGGCTACATACTGTCTCAAAAAAAAAAAAAAAAAAAAAAAAAAACTGTCTTTATTGCTACTAACTCATGATTACTACTCATGCCATTTATCAAATGTCATTTATCAAATTTAAACTTATCTAAAACCTAGGACAGGTAGTCAGTAACAGTTATACACTAAGCATCAAAACATGCTTCAACTGGGCTGGGACTGAAGTTCAGAGATAGAATGCTTACCTCCCATGCATGCCCTACGTTGAATCCTGTGTTGAAAAACCAAAAACACCCCAACTAAGCTGAGCATGCCTCCAAGCCTAGCACTCAGGAGGCAGAAGCAGGAGGACCTCAAGTCTGAGGCCAATCCAAGCTACACTTAAAAAAAACTACAAAAGGTCATATTTGGAGAAAAAGAACATTCCAATGATGTTTATTTTTCACTACTGTCAGTCAAAATCTAACTTGAAGATATAATTACTTCAGACATCTTTTTCTGAAAAATAATCCAAGAAAAATGTCTACTTACAAAATACTAATCTGACATTCACAAGTAGATTAGCATTTAGAACAAATGTAACAGGAGGAAATCCTTCGCCTTCAAGAAGCAAAATGACCTGCTCATGAGATGGGCACTCCTGTACTACAGGAACTGAAACAGAAACACAGTCATTAGGATTGGTACCCTCTTAAATACACTTAAAATGAAAAAATGTGTAAACCTACCAACAGTCTGACCAAACTGAGAAACAAAAGCAAACATGTTTCATGAAATCAATTACTACCCCGTACTTTAGCTTTTTTCCACTAAATATAGTACTGTACTATAGTACTATACTACACATAGATTAGTTTAACAGCGTATTTATAAAAATTTAATACCTTCAAGGTTTTAAAACAAACACTTTTGTTGAAAGTGGTTTCTAGGCCCCGCAAGATGGCTTAATGGGTAAAAGCACTTGCTATAAAACCTGATGACCTGAGTTTGACCCCAAAATTCACAAAAGAATGAACTCACTCATGAAAGTCATCCTCACACCACATGCACACCATGGCACACACCTACACATACTCACAAACAAATAAAATAAAAAATATTTTAAAGTGGATTCTAGTTTGCCAGTCACTTCAATTCTACTTTCTGAAATTTTAAGTCTGTGAAAAAAATCTAAACTCACGTTTCATACGCTGCTTGCTGCCATATGTCTATTCAGTGACAAGTAGTGCCAACAAAAACAAAGCTTGATGATCAACCAGGACATATGCATGACATTTAAAAGACAGAACTGAATGTACTTTGGCTGCTATAGCTAAGCTCATGAAATGGTCCCTACAGGCAGCTCTGAGATTCTGTTTCATTCCTTCACATTAACTTGCAAAACCCCAAACAGTAGCATCTCCTATTTCAGGATGTAACATAACACTTGGGGTGATGAGCATCCAGGGAACTCTGAGGTAGGGCCTAGTCACAGTACCCCAGTCTGAAAAAGACCTCAGGGATCATCTGGCTTCTTTTACAAAGAAAATGGAGATTAAATAACATACTTGAAGTCATAACATAAAATAAGTAACATGATGATGACCTAAAATTCCTAGTTTTATCACTGAATTTAATGCTCTTTCTTTGAGACCGTTTTTTAATTTAAAATTTTTTTTAAAAGCTGGGTATGGTGACAGGCTTTTTATCTCAGCACTTAGGAGGCAGAGGCAAGCAGATCTGAGTTCTAGACCAGCCTGGTCCACATAGTGAGTTCCAGGCTAGCCAGTGCTGTATATTGAGACCCTGTCTCAAAAAACAAAAGTTAAAGCCCAAAATAATAGTAATATTTCTGATAGTCCATGAGTTTCTCTAATGTATTAGACTTTAACTCATTCTAAATTAGTGATTCATGTGATAAATGAACCATAAGAGTTCATAAATTATCAGCTCTGGTACATGTTATAACATGTCTAAATTCTTTAAAATACATTTCACATATTACAAACTAAATTCAAACATTCTTTTCAAAAAATTCATTATCCTCAGGCTGTATGTGGTAGCTCACTCCTATAACCCAGCACCCAGAAGGCATATAGATTTCTAGAGTTCAAGGCCACCCTGGTCTATATAACAAGTTCCATGCCAGCCACAGCTACATGGTGAGACTCTGTCTTGAAAAACCAAAACCAAACTTTTATTTTAAACTTTAAGTAAGTGCTACCTACCTGACCCCTCTTCCCCAGATGTAGCCAGAAGAGGAGGCAGAGTGACCTCATCATCAGGCAGAAGACTAAACTTATTGCACACACATTCGGCAATGCCACATAATAACCTATAGTCTGCGATAGTAGCAGCAGGTACACTGCTGTTAGCAAGGACACCAGTGGGACTAGATGGCTCCTCAATATCCACAAAAACATCATCTTCTAGTGTCAAGGGACCAGAAGTGGGTAAACCTTCAGTGTCTGTGCTCATAGGCAGTTTTTCCACAGATGCAACATGAGAAATAGGACTCCGAGTTATCTCATTTCTTGTAAAATCTCCTACTGCACTGTTTAGTTTTTCTGCTGTAGAATGGATAGGGTCCACTGTATTTACAATCTGTAAAATATGGAATAAAAAATTTCTTCACATTTTCTGTTCAACAGCAAAATGCTAACCTATATAACCAAACATAATATTTTAGTAAAAATAAAAGAAACCAAAATAGGCTCATAAATTCTTCTGAGGTTGAATTTCCCAAGAACTAGAAACCATTTTACTTCTTTAAGTTCAGGGTAGGTAGGGTTTAGCTTTACTGCATGCCTATATAGGTGCGAATGACTTTAGAGAAGAAAGAGGCGAGCAGAAAGGGAGTGGCTGGAAAGCAGAGTGGTAGATACATCCCCCAACAGCAGCCACCTAGGAAAGCTGCCATTCAAGTCATCTTCAATAAAGCACCTTTCTCTTTTAGCCTATCTAGAATAAATAAATGGTAATAATTCATGAACTCAGATGATATTTACTAGCCTGTTTAAAACTTTCATTTTAGGCTGGGTGTGGTTGGGCATGCCTTTAAGACTACCACTCAGGATGCAGAAGCAGGCAGATCTTTGAGATTCAGGTCAGCCTGGTCTACACAGTGAGTTCAGGCTCACTGGGGCTACAGGGAGACCCTGCCTCAAAAAAAAAAAAAGAACAAAAGTAAATAAAACTTGCATTTTGTTGAAATACTGGTTAAGAGAAGGTGCTAGCTAAGGAATATATACATCTTTGGTAAATATACCTCTCTATAAAAACTAGCTCAAGATCTTTTACTTACAGATGGCATATATTACATACTATTTAAACCTAGCAAAGTTGTGTAAATGCAAGCATAAATACCACCAAAAATACTTTCTTGAATGTATAGAAACAAATCAATTCTAGTCTAAATTAAATTACTAAATCTCACTTACATTTCCCTATACCACTGGTTCTCAAAATGTGCAAGAATCACTGAGGTCTGCAAAATCCTTTCAGGGAGTCAATGACAGGCTGGGATTTCCTTCATAAAATTAACAAGCATATCACATTACATTGTAGGTGGAGGCAGATGTGACAATCTGCCTTCTCTTAAGTCAGATTATTAAAGAAATTTGAAAAAATGTAAAACGATACCACTCTTTACTAAACTGCCTTGGTTTTTAAAATATTTTTCTTAAAAATATTGTTTCTTTTGGTATAGTAGGTTTATTATTTTTAATATAGCAAAGCAAGTCACTTAATTCTTTGGTTTCCCAGTTCATACAAAAGTTATGTTTATACTACACTGTACTCTATTAAGTGTTCAACAGCATTATATCTAAAGAAAAGTTCATATTTTAATTTAAAATATTTTATTGTTTAAAATGCTAATGACCATGTGGAAAAAATGAGGCGTACAGACTTGTTCCATGGACAACTGTCACAATCTTGTAAGTGATGCAGTATCTGTAGAGTGCAATAAAGGAAGCACAATAAAATAGGTACACACATTTCTTTCTTTAGGAAAATTCAAAACACTCTAAAGATAAGCGCACTAATAGCTACACGAGGAATTATTTATTTTTAAAAACTGATTTAATGTGAGTTATTTACATTCCTTACCATGGGTATATCAGGTAAGACAGGACTAAACTCGTCGGAACATCTTTTACTTCCAGATGATAATTTGGTTGTATCTGCAACTTCACCATTAGGCAATATGCCATCAGCAAACCATACTCTCTTCTGTTCTTTGGAGCACAGTCCTAAAATTGAAAAGGCACATTATTTTAATTTGGCAATACTGCAATGATACAATACCAAACAGGTCAGTTAATGATTTCAAAAGCTTTTTGCCATGCACTAGAGCAAGTGCTATAATCTCATAGCTGCAGAGACCTAGGAAAATGGCTTTTCATAATTTATGTATCCCGAGCAGAGCTCATTTCTATCTAACTCATACCAAGATGGAGTACTAGAATAGCTGTAGCCAAGGGGCCACATACTCTGAAAAGGCATGCACAGTGAGATAAATCATTGAAGCTAAGATTGTGAGTGTGTGTAGTACGTTAACAAAATACCCAAGAAAACTGATTACAGGGAATTGGAGGGAGTCTTTTTGAGTCAGGGTCTCCCTGTAGCCCCAGATGGCCTGGAACTCACTGTAGTTTTTTTTTTGTTGTTGTTGTTGTTTTTTGGTCTTTTTTGAGCCAGGGTCTCCCTGTAGCTCCAGCTGCCTGGAACTGACTCTGTAGACCAGGCTGACCTCGAACTCACAAAGGATCCACCTGCCTCTGCCTCCCAAGTGCTGGGATTAAAGGCATGCACCACCACTCCCGCCACCACGCCCAGCTGGAATTCACTATGTAGACCAGGCTGGCTCAATCTTACTGAGATCCGCCTGTCTCTGCCTCCCAAGTGCTAGGTTTAAAGGCATGCACCATCAAGCCCAGTTCAAGGTAAAATTTTATTGACTTGTAGGTTCATTCAAAGGTTGTTTAGGCCCATTTCCACAGGCCTGTGTGATAAGGTCTTACACCGTGGTGGGAAAGATGTAGTAGAGCAAAAGCTTCTTACCATGGTGGCCCAAAAGCAAAGAAAGGCACAAATTAAGAACAGGACAAAACATCCTTTCCAGGGCACACTCCCAGAAACTGAGCCCCCCGCCCAGCTAGGCCCCACCTTCTAGTTCCCACCACCTCCAAATAAAGCTTTCAGACTATGACCCTATCACTAGATTAACCCATTGATTAGCTCGGAACCTCACTGCATCACTTCCCTAAAGCCCCACTTCTGAACCATACATTGGGGGCCCAAACCTTCAACAAAGGAACCTTTTAGGGGACACTTCAGACCCAAACTTGAACAAGCAGTGACTGAATAAAATGTAAGGCCTAAGTAAGGCACAGAGCTGAAAAACAGAGATCAAAGCATAACAGATAAGCAAAGGAAAACATACCAAGAACAGTAAAAGAAAAAAAAGTGTGAAAAAAAGGAAACCCGATCATTTATGTTTTCAAGAGGTCCTTTCTTATGTTCACATAAGGTGTCAAGAAATGTATTAACTCAACTGTGAACCTAAAAATTTTATAGCTACTTTTGAAAGAGATGTATCTTTGCTCTAGAGATTGTTATTGAGTATGTTAAAGCTGTAATGAAATGCTTCTTCTTAAAAAAACAACAACCAAAAAAAAAAACCAACAACAAAAAAAAGAGTAACATATTTAGTTCTTATAATCTGGGCCATAAATCTTATTAATACTTATTACTATTTTCTCTCAAATTTGCAGGAAATTACTAAAAGAAGTATTTGTTCCCTTTGTTAGAATGTATCTAGATAGGAAGGTTAACAGAATTGGTTAACAGAATTTATGTCAGATGATTTTAGAACAATACAAAAACACAAGAGGCTTCAAATCTACTTTCTAGAACAAAATGCAGATAACACTGAAGAGATCAGAATTATGCACATATGTATTTGCAACATAAATGGATATATCGAACAAGGTATCTTTCTTACATTTACACTATTTTGATAATAATTTAGGTTGTCAATATAAGAACATACAAATCATTTTAGACACAAATTTATTATCTTTATTCTTATAACACAAAACTTCATTATGCTGAATCTCAGTTCAGATACAATTATAAATCAAAAAACAGCTACTTAATTGTAAACTAACCCCCCAAACTGTCAATAAATCAAATGTCTTTAACTGATATTTACAGACATTTTCTAACATGTCTCAGTCTTTGTTTCAAAAAAAAAACACTGGCCTTATTTGAGATCGAAATGACCCTAAGCTAAAAAACAACAGATGATTCAAAGGTTTAAAAATAGATTTTATTCTGTGAGTTCAAGGCCACTCTGGTCTACACAGTGAGTTCCAAGCCAGCTGGGGCTATAGGGAGGCCTTGTCTCAAAAAGACCAAACAAACAAACAAAAACGATAACAACAACAAAAAAAATAGATTTTATGGCTGTCTGTAATAGTCCAGGAGTTTGAGAGCAGTTTGAGTTTCAAAAATCAAAGAAAGGAAGAAAGAAAGGAGGGACAAAAAGATGAATGGGAGGGAGGGAGGGAGTGATGGATGGATGGATAGATGGATGGATGCTCATTGTGGTAAAATATACAAAGATAAGTTTTTAAAGAAAAGGTTATTTACCTGTTATCTCTAGAACCCAAGCTCCCCACTTTAAACCATTTTCCTTAATGCTAGGCTGGAAGTCTGGAAAGTATAAATCCTGGCTATCTTAGCCTGCTAACTGGCTATGGTAAGGCTATGCCAGCAGCACACATTGGTGGGACTGGGAGACCGAGGTGGAAAAGAGAAAGGGCTCTTTCTGCCCGCCCTCCTACTAGGATCCTTGTAGCTGTAGTACTACCAGCTATGCTGCATGTTCCATGACTTTCAGTACTCCTGGAACTCAGTCACCTGAGCACCAACTCTAACAGACTCCTTGATGCTTCCAGCATTTTCCATGCGGCATTTCCCCAAACAAAAAGAGAGCTTCAATTATGTGGATCTTTAACCCCCAACTCCCAGTACCCCTTTCTGAGTATGAACAATGCTGCCTTCTCCCCTTTTATCTCCTTTCATCCCCTTAGTTCTAGTGACAGTAGTTACTCCTGCACTTATTAATCTGAGACTCTTGAACATGTTTCTAGTCTAAAATACATATGTAACCAATTCCCTCTATTAAAGTCCTCCTGATACTGGAGGACTCCTGATACTTGGATCTCTATCTATCTAGATCTGGACTATACTAGATCATTTTTTTCATACTAGATCATTTTTATTTAAATAATTTATCTTTAGTCTGAAACACAGCAGTTTCTTGTTATTACCTTCAACATTTGGTTGTTTCAGTGCAGAAACTGGCAAAGCTGTAGGTGAAGACATACTGGATGTTTGGGTCTCCTGAAGTGGCTGGACAGTGGTGGATTCATTAGAATGATTAGACTTAAGACAAGAACCACTTGGACTCATCATCCTTTCAAATGCCTGAGCTATAAAGGGGAAAGAATAGTATTAAAAACTCAGATGTTTTTGAACTTCAAATAAGTTATAATAAATATTTGATCTTTCAAGTTGTAAGGAGAAAGAAATAACCAGTAGGAAAAAAGTTGCATTTGGCAAAGATAAAATGTCTGAGTGACCAGCACAGGCAGGCTCCTTCCTTCAGTTGGCTACACTCTACTTTGATAAGCTATCAATGAGTTATTTAGATATTGTATTTGTGTGCTTGATATCTATTACAGAAAACATTTTTATGTAGTCTAAGTGTCTGTGTTTTTGCCCTTATATTAATCCTCAGTTTAAATTCTTTAATGGCTTTCTAAATGAAGTAAAATTTGTTGTTACCACTAACAAGATCTGTAGGACCTACATCCCTAGTTCTTCCATCTTTCCAGTTACTTGTCTGACCTCATCTTGGTATAGTCCCACTCAGGCACTATCATCCAGCAATCTACACCTCCTTGTTCTTCAGGGAAAGCAAGTACTTTTCGAGCTTCAGGTGTTTGTTCTTACTATTCTTTCTGCCCAGAATGCTCTTTCCATAGGTGCTCACACAGACCTACACTATTTCCTTCAAGTCCCTATTCTTATATTATTAAAAAGCATTATTATTAACAGCTCATAAAAATACTTCCTTTGCCACCAATCTGTTTCTTTCTCGCTTACATTTATATTTTCCATTTAGTGTATTCTTACCATCTGATATCTTCCCTGTTTACTTTACATTCATCCCCACATTCATAACATTCATAAACTCCATGACAACAGGACACCTATTTTGTTCTCAGCTAGATCTCCAGAACACACAATAGTGCCTGGATATTGTTAAATAATGTTTCAATTAAAAAAAAAAAAAAACTACAGGAATAGCACTGCCAACTATATCATCAGCATTTCTCCAAACTGATCTACTATAAATGTTGTCATGCTAAAATTATCTTCCTTAAAGCGCCACTGAATGGTAACAAGCTAGGAAAATAGCTTCTACTAACTAAGTAAAATCCACATACATCTTTACATTCTGGATTCCAAATCTACCTAATAGCACATGCTGCCAAAACTCATACAATCTCGGTCCAACTTTTCCACTGTCCACAATCTTTTCTTCCATTTCTTTATCAATTCATCTCACAATCCTTGACAAAATCCTTTCTTTTATTTGATAACACTGTTTAAATGATTGCTCGCATCATTTTCTACCCTACACTTGACATTAAGATCATTTTTATTGTTTTCTTATATAAATTAATCAATAATAGCTCCATAAATAAAGCTATGTAAGATATAGAAACTCACTCCACCATGTCTTTTGTGGTACTGTGGGAATCAAACTCATGGCCTTGCACATGCTAGGCCAGCACTCTCACTGAGCTGTATTTCCATTTCTAAACATCTCAGTATCCTATTCAGTCTCTTTAATAATTATACCTTCATCTCTCTTGGACTTTAATAGCCTGACCTGTCAATTCAAATCCTCTCTCTTTTTTTTTTTTTTTGCTAAGTGGAAGAGATAAATACGTGGGAGAGTATTCTAAGATTTAAATTCAGTAAACCGCTTGGGCTAATCGGACCAGAAGTTGTCTTACAGGCTACTGAAACAGATTAAAAGGTTTATATTCTATTATCTTCCAGAGTACAAGTCAATGGCAGGGAGTAGAACAGCTTACCTCAGGCTAACAGACTCACATCAGAGCTTTTTGGAGAATGGCTGAAAAAATTTATCTTCATTCAAAAGAGAGAAACAAATTATTATCAGGCATTTATTCTCCTGTCCAATAGGAGCTAGTGCACAGGCCTGGTCAAAAAAGGCCCAAGTAATTTTTGTTGGGAATTAAATGGTCAACAAATCTTTGAAAATGCAAGAACTCAAAACAAACATGTATTTATGTATTTAGGTGTAAAAAACACAAGATAACACACACACAAAATAAATAAATAAATAAATAAATAAATAAATAAATAAATAAACAAACCCCTGTGGGAACTCGAAGACCACCAAGACTATTGCTGAAAAATGGAAGCTAGCTAGAGAGCCAGAGATACAATGGGAAGCACACACATGTAACATTCTAAAACAGAAGGAAAAAAAGGTGAGACAAAAATATGCGCACAGCATAGCAGTCCTATTGAGTTTATAAAATCATACATATTATCTTTTATCCTCATTTTAGGTCATTTTCTAAAGAAAACTACTATCTTGCCTTATGGCATTAACGTATAATACTGAGTATCAGCATAGTAGATATTTTATAAATTCTTCAATTAAGATAATGAAGATGACAATGACGACAAAACAGAAGGCAGATGAAATGTAGCACTTAGGGACTTGGTACCTGTTAAAAGGTAACGAACTGCCACTCCAGAAACTGAATGCTTCCTTTCCAGACTGGTAGTGTTAATTGTGAGAGTGGAACAAAAAGAGAAACCAAGCCTTGGGATGTCCCACCTAAGCCAGATAAGTCAACACTAGGTCCTCGCCTTAAGAAAATAAAGAAGTTTATCTTTGTCACAATCCAGTTGTTCTAAACATATATTCATTTAGTGGAAGAAAATATGTCAGGTTAATACTCACCTTTATTAATAGTCTCATAGCAGACTACACATACTCTTGCTTCCTTTTCTAGATACTGAAGTTTACATTTCCTGTTACAACAGACACCACAAAATACCTATAAAGAATAAAGTACTAAATTTGTTTTTGTCTCAAGCATATATAAACTTACTAGAGGCAAGAGGAAATCTAAAACTTAATTAGCCAAAACTTATTTTATCATTTTTCTTTTTTAAAAAATATTTTATTTTTATTTTATGTGTATGAGTATACTTCCTGTATGTGTATAAGTGCACCCGTGTCATGCAATGCCCATGGAAGTCAGAAGGTGGTGTTGGATTCCCCTGCAACTGGAGTTACAGGCAGTTGTTAGCCACCATGTGGGTGCTAGGAATCAAACCCGGGTCCTCTGTAAAAGCAGTTGGTGTTCTTAACTGCCGAGCCATCTCTCCAGCCCCATAATTTTATTATCATCTTTCTAATCACCGGAGTCAGAAGTAGAATTTTTTAATGATCTTTAATTTAAATGAGTGTGGTAGTTAATCTTGATTGTCAACCTGAAAGGACTAAGAGATGCCTAGCACCTCTGCTTCTGTCTGTTACAGTGTTTCAGACAGGACTGACATGTGGAAGATATCTGAATTTGAACAGCACCATCCAATAGGCTGGAGGCCTGACTAGAATAAAAGGAGAAAAAAACAGCCAATGAGGATAAGCTACATTCCTCCTAAACAAGTGTGCTTCCTGCTGCTGCTACAACACACTCTGGCTTCTTCAGCCTTCTAAGGCAGACCCATGTGCTCCAAGGAGTACTCCAAGCCTTCAGTATCAAACAGGACTGCATGACTGGTTCACCACCACAACTACCACCTTGCTTTGAGACTTCCATCTTTTTGGACTAAGAGGCTAGCAGGCTGTCTGCCTTTCCAACTTGTGGACAGACACTGTTGGACTAATCACCTTCCTACCATCCAATCCAATAAATCACCTTTATAATTTTATATATATATATAATTATAAAGTTGATACATATACACACATTTATACACACATATATGTAGTTTATTTTGTTTTTCTAGATAATTCTGACTAATACAATGAGGATTTTGTAATTTATAACCATATCCTTGATAAGGAAAAATTTTGAGTCAATTAGTTAATTGTAAGGCAATAAAAATATTCTTCAATAAATGTCAATCATTTAAAAAGTTTTCTGTAGCAACTAGACATGTAACTCAGTGGTAAAGAGCTTGCCTACCATGTACAAAGTCTTAGCTTTCATAAACAGAACACTATTTTGCTATGTATGATATGAAACCAATGTACTATTGAAAAGTGCTGAATAAAAAGTAGAACAATTAAAAAATATTTATTATTTTTATTTTATGTGTATGAGTGTATTGCCTACATGTGAGTGCACCTGTGTCATGAAGTGTCACGGAGGTCAGGAGAGGGCTTTGGATTCCCCTGGAACTGGAGTTAAGGACAGTTCGTAGCCGCCATGTGGGTGCTGGGAATCGAATCTGGGTCCTCTGCAAGAGCAGTCAATCCTCTTAACTGCTGAGCCATCTCTCTAGCCCCATAAAAAGTAGAGCAATTTTTAAAAAGAAAATTTCCGGGGCTGGAGAGATGACTCAGCAGTTAAGAGCACTGACTACTCTTGCAGAGGACCCAGGTTCGATTCCCAGCACCCACATGGTGGCTACTAACCATCTTTAACTCCAGTTCCAGGGGAATCTGATTCCCTTTTCTGACCTCCGTGGCATTGCATGACATGGGTGCACTCACATACATGCAGGCAATACACTCATACACATAAAAATAATAAATAAAATATTTTTAAAAATAAATAAAAGACAATTTCCTTAGAGTTTATAGGCAGCATCTTTATCATACAAGTAGGCCACTAAGAACACAAACCAGGTCAGGCATGGTTCTCGTGTAAGCCAACTGGCTTTCCAGCATTTAGGAAATGAGGGCAGCAATGAGGAATCTGGTTGCAGAGTGCTTTTAAAATTAAATATTCAAAGACAGAGGGGAATATATGATTTATCAATATTAGAGAGCATAAACACTTAGATTGGAGAAGTAACTCAGAGATGAGAGTTTGCCTAATATATGTGAGGCCCTGGGTTCAATCCTCAGCACTACAAAAGAGTAAGAAGCAAAGATTTATATGACTTACTTTCCCACATGCTCGGCAGTGGTGTCGCCTTTTGGTAAAAGTGAATTTGACTTGGCAGTTCGTACAGTTTGGAGCTTCTGAATCAGGAACCCAAGTAGGTTGTTTCTGGCCCAAAGCCAAGCCTTCTTTGCAAATGTTTTCAGGCAGAGAATCCTTGTTTGCAGTTACAAAACTGGATCCACCTTCACAGTTACTTTCTATATCAATGTAATTAGAGTTGAAGCTAACCTGAGGGTCAGCTGTACAATCTGCAGTACAAGTGGATGTAGCAATGCTATCTGCTGTGCTTGGTTCATCTTCTGGCATATTTGGAACATCTGGCTTACTCAGTTCCTTCGGACTCTTTGTTCTTGATGGAAGGCTAAGCAACTGCTTAGGTCTAGCCCCTCCAACAGGAACAGATTGGCTGTTAATATTGGAGATTGGCAATTCATTCATCATCTCAGACATACTGTTAGGTAACCCTTGCTCAGTTAGAACTGTGCTTTTTCCCCCTAAAGAAAGGCTACCATTTTCTATTCTATTTTCTTTATCAACTGTTTCACAAATCACAACACCATCACTTTCCCCAATAGCTCCTGCTTCAGCATTGAAGTATAGATCATTTATGTTTTCATCATTAAATCCTTTCACATCTATCTCATTCATGTGAGGCTTTGAATCAATTATATTTTCTCCAAAAGATTGTGTGTTAGGGGTCTGAAGATACTGTTCTGTCAGAAAAGCATCAAGTTCGGCATCACTAATCAGTGTGCTGCTTTTAATGCTTTCATCAATATTAAAGTAATCTAACTCTTGTCCATCCATATCACTGCTTGCAAAAGTGAAGCCTTCACAATGATCAGGAGACTCTGGGGCACTAGCCCCAGAGAGTGCCATTTGAGACTCTGCAGCCACAGAACTGGTGTTATCAAGATCCTCCAAAGGGTCGCCTCTGTTTACCACCTGCTCAGGGTAAGCCTTTCCATGCCCTTTCTTGTCATTTACTGGCAGAAGAAATAAGGTTTTACACTTTTTCCTTTTCAAAAGGTCATACTCCCCGAGGGACTCCCCATCTAAAATAGCACTCTTCCGTATTTCTTCGTGTATAGTCATTGCATCTTCTTTATGATCTTCAGGTTCACCATGAGGTAAAAAATCACCATGTGCATTACTGTCAATTAATGATCCACACAAAGATCCAGACAATGGAACACAGGACAATGGAGAGGGTACACCTTCACTTGAAACATGTAAAGATGAAGAGGAAACCTGTTCTACATCATTAGTATCTTTAAGGTCTAAATTTACTGTGTCTTCTTTTATAGATTGTTTCATTAATACAGCAGTTCTATTTTCCTGGAAGGAAAAGTCAGGTAATTTGAAATTTTCATCTCTTGAACTTGAGTCACTTAGGCATATACCTTCATTTTCTGGAATACTGCAAGGCAAAGCAACTGTGCTACCTTCTTCTAAACACTTTGTATCTGTGGCTGCCATCTCTACTTTCTCTTCTGTCAAACAGCCATCGTCTTTTAACGATTCACACGGCAGGCTCTTGTGTTGTGGGTTGTCTTTGGCTTCAGATATTTCAGAATTTTGTTCAGTCAAAGAAGATGACATGTCAAAATCAACAACTGTCTCTAACTCATTGGAGATCTTTTGATTCTTTACATTTTCTGTGCCACAGTATTTACAAGAATCTGAAAGTGCTGCATCTACTTCTATACCCAATTTTTTGATTCCACTAATTTCTCTGCTTTGGAACTCAGCTTTCACATCATTCTGTTCTCGTACAGTATCACTGCCTTGGTCTATTGAAGAAACACAGAGAGCATGTGAAACTGAAGACAGATCCAACCCAGTCAAAGAATCTGAAACTGAGGATGAATCCAATGCAATCAAAGAATCTGCACTAGACTTGAAGTCATCTGGCAATAATTTTTTAATGTCTTCCTCACTATTAGTTGCATGAACTAAGTTACCCATGTCGCTTATCAGGTCACAGACCGGTTTACTACATTGTCTCATACATGAAGGCTGGATCTCATCTGAAGTACTAGCATCCACGGAAGAAAGGAGATCAAGTCCTGTCACGTTTTTTTCACTTTGTCTAGAAGTTAATCCCTCATGCATTTTTTCATTGAGAAAGCCCTCATTTGTTTCACAGCATGTCTCTGGTGATGGAGAGCTACTAACACATCTCTGGTCCTTTGATAGCAGTAAAGTTAGCTGTGAGGAAGCCAACTCTGAAGAAACTGAGCAGTGGTTAGAAGCATATGCATTCTGAGCACCTTGGAGATAATCTTGTTCATCTAGTGAAAAACAGAAACACAAGCTACTCAGGAAATGCAAATCAAATAAAAATTCTAAAAATACTATGCTTTCTAAAACTTCTGAATAAACTTTTATTTGGCTTTCAAGTATTTTCTAGCTTTTACTTTTTAATATAGCTGTTACAGAGTGATAGGACCCCTACTCAGTAATTCAGTTGCACTATAAAAAAAACAAACCAAGAAAATGTTGAGAAACAATCTTTAACTACTTTGTTCTGCCCTCTAGTTTTCTAACTCCATTCTGAGGTAAACACTATCTCTTACTGTAACGACAATTCAACTTGTATAACTCTTTCAAGTTGTTTTAAGCTCGCATAGAACATTTTTCTTGTAGCTAAATCTGCAGCTACAAACTTAACTTCTATATCTGGCTATTGATCCTACAGGTATAAGAATAAAACAATATGTTATAATGAAACAACTCAGGTTTTAGAAAAGGTAACAAAGTGATGAAAACAGAAATCAAATTTTGCTAAGGGTACTCCGTTCCTGAGATAATTGAATTACAGACATTTTAAAATTCCAAGAGTGGCAAAGTGGAAAACCAACAAACCTGGGTTCTGCTCAAAATCATCAAGAAGCTTGTCCAAGTCACTGACAGCTGCTTTAAAATAACTGTCCATTCTACCTGTAGACTTATTCAGAATTTAATTCTTGTATGTCTAGAAAATAAAAGCATATTATATTTAATTCTCTACCATATAAAAACAATGTCATCTGTGCTGGATAACTTTAGTGTCAACTTGACACACCTGGGTTGAGGGAGCCTCAATTGGGGAATTACCTCTATTGGACTGGCCTGTGGCCATGTCTCAGGGGCCTCTTCTTAATGAGTGATGTGGGAGGGCCCAGCCCACTGTGGGTGGTGCCACCCCTGGGCAGGTGGGCCTGTGTTGCATAAGAAAGCAGGCTGAGCAGGGGCCAGGGGAGCAAGCCAATAAGCAGCATTCCTCCATGGCCTATGCTCCAGCTCCTGCCTCCAGGTTCCTGCCCTGAGTTCCTACCTTGGGCCCCCTGATGAACTGTGACCAGGGAGATGTGAGATAAATAAACCCTTTCCTCCCCAAGTTGGTAGTGGTCAGAGTGTTTTGTCACAGTAATGAAGAACAAACTAGGACACCATCTATCCCATGTCAATAAACAGGAAATGGAAACAAAAATCAAATTAAACAGTACTTTTTTGAAGATTCCATGTTCATGGAGAAAAGTGGTCTTGACATAAAAATGACATGAAAGCCAACTTTTACAACATAACATTTGTACACAAAAGCTATAATGAATTTTTTGTTTGTGGCTGTTGTGTATGTGGTGGATGCACATACTGTGTGAGTACACACATATGTGAAGGCCAGAAGAAGACTTCTATCGCTCTCTGTCTTACTTCCTTGCAGTAGGCTCTCACTGAACTGGAAGCCCAGAGCTCCCAGGATCCACCTATCTCCCCACTAATGCTGGGGTTATAGGCACACAAAGCCACACCTGGCTTTTCCCATTTAAACTCAGGTCCTCATGCTTGCATAGAAAGCACTCTTATTCACTAAGCCATCTCTCTAGCCCAGTTATTATGAATTTTAAAACACTTATTCACAGGCCAAAGAATAAAATGAAAAGCTAAAAATACTTTAAAAGTATTTTTATACATAATATAAAATATATTACATACATACAAAAATAATGCATGGGAAACAAAAGCTAGTTCTGTGAAAAGATGAGGCAGAAACTCTATCAAAAAAGTTTGAGGCACTTTGCAGTGATCTATCAATTACTGGCTTAAATGGGACAACTGAACATCACAATAAAGGACTGAAAAGAAATCAAATAAATATTAGAAACCAAGAGATCATATTAAGATCAAACTTTTAAAAACAACTGCTTATTTGCAGGAAATTGAACATCAATGACATTAACATAAAAAACAAAGCACCCCACCCACAGGAGCGTTGCTAGGGCACTATCACTCTGATAAAGAAAAGGAGCCACGAGTTAGTCCTGCCATTTATTTACAAAATATACTTTAGGATAATAAAATAGTTGCCATGGGAAAGTTTTTAAAGAATTCCTGTTAATAAGTGATTTAAACTTTTTTGAAAAAAAAAATCTTTTAAGGGGCTCAGCAGTTAAAGAATACACGCTGTTCTTGCAGGACTCAGGTTCAGTTACCAGCACCCACATCAAGCAGCTCACAACAACCTATATTTGCAGTTCCAGGGGATCAAATGCCCTCTGGCTTCTGCCAGCACCTGCATTCACATGATGCACATAAACTCATGCAGGCACATATACATACATATTATTTTTTTAAAAAGGCTCTAAAAATCTTTTCTTCATAGTCGTTAATGCAATAAATGAACTAAGCAATTGCTACCAATGAATGTCAAGACTGTTAGAAGAAAAGTTTATGGGGAGCATCATAATGTTGGGGTCAGGTCAGTTCATCTCAATCCAGTGATCAATTTCACCATCAATAATATGGAAGAACACCACCACATAGAACATACTTGTGCATACAAAACTGAGCCTGAATTGAATCAAACTTTTAAAAACAACTGCTTATTTGCAGGAAATTGAAGCATACAAAGACAAGTTAAATGGTATAAAAAGAAAGCTATCTAAACTAGTCTGGGCAGAACACTGTGGCAATGTCTTCGAAGCTGTCTATGGTGAACAACTAGTTTGGTTTTGTTGCTGTTTCTTTGTTTCCTTGAAACACGGTCTCATTGTGTAGCTCAGGCTGGTCTGGAACTCATTATGTAGAACAGGCTGGCCTTGAATTCACAGAGACATGCCAGTCTCTGCTTCCCAAGTGCTGGGACTAAAGGTGTGTGCCACCATGCCTGGCTGAATGACTAGCTTTTAAAAGCACATCTAAACTGTTGCCAAATGTTAATTTGTAAAGCAATACAAATTGTGTAACAATAAATACAAAAAAATATATACATAACAAAACACAATAAAATGTTGTTTGGGGTGGAGAATGAACAGGAGTAAGATTAAGAGGGCTTTTCAAGAACCTACTGATTCAATTATGATTGAGTACCATGAACTAAAGATCCAAGTGGTCCAGAAGTGGGGAGCACAATGTGTTAAATATGAGTTTAAAAGATCAGAAAAACTTAAAAGAGAACTGAATGCACTAGAAGACCTATGAGAAGAGAATACCTAAAAAGCCCAGAGAAAAGAAGAAATGAACGTGAACATGGACTCCAAAGATCAGACAATGGGATGGAAATGGAGTTCCACAAGGAGAGAGCAAAGAAAAACTTCATTTGAAGGAATAGCCAGGATTTTTTCCACAATTCATGAAAAACTCAACAGATAAAGGTAATATATCACAATATAAAGAGAAAGTCACATTTTTTTAGACACATTAGAGTGAAACAACTAAACTCCAAAGATGGAGCCAGAAAGAAAAGGTTATTTTCAAAGGAACAATAAGTCTGGCAACAGGTATACTTCAGAAGTATTCTCAATAACAATGGGATTATTTCCTAATTCAATAAAGCCTACTAATTCTTTTGATTCCATTGCCAAATATGCTATTAAACTATGCATACAGAAGTGTACACAAAACACAACAATTATTAAGCCAATTAAAGGAATCTGGAGGAGAGACAATGTGAAAACAAGAAAATGTCTAAGCACATTCTGAGAGAAAGAAGCATCTATGGAACTATGAAACAGGAATAGAAAACCACAAATAAGGAACACATGGTGAAGAAAAGCTGATCATGAAAATCAGCAGCAGAAATCTTAAAACTCAAGAAGCTTGAGAGATGCAGTAAACACAGTGCTTTCATTAGGAACACTAACAGCATTAAACATATATATTAAAAAGAAGCAAAACCTGAAATAGTTTAAGCTTCCAATTTGGGAGACTATAAAAAAATTATCCTAGGGGCGGGCAGGGCCCGCAGGCAGTGCTCAGCTACCCTCCAGAAAAAAAAAATATTAAAAAAAAAAAAATCCTAAAATAGATGTATCAGATAAAAATTAAAGGGAAAAAAAATCAGTGAAAATTAAAAACAGGAAAACAAACCAAAATTTTCTTCTTAGGAAAGATGAAGGGCTGGTGATACCCTTCAGTGGTAAAGCACTTGCCTGGCACATGCAAGGCCCAGGCTCAATTTCTAGTCTCTCTCTCTCTCTCTCTCTCTCTCTCTCTCTCTCTCTCTAACCCTGATCTTGAATAGTCTAGTTATCTGAAAAACAATGTCTAATGAACAAAGAATTTTAAGGTGTATGTGGTGGTGCGTGTATGAATCCCAGTATTTGGGAGATAAGAGGCAGGAGGATCAGGAATTCAAGGTCATCCTCTACAACACAGTAAGTTTGAGGCCCTGTGTTCAAATTGGAAAAAAAAAAAAAAAGAGACAGGCTAATCAAGGAAAATGAGAAAAATTAATTAACATCATCAGAAATAAAAGAGGGTTAGTTACTACTGATGCTGTGGACACTAGAAGGAAAATAAAGAGCATGTGAACAACTCTTTGCACATAAATGTGATAATGTAGATAAAACAGATCAGTTCCTCAAAAGACAGAAACTATTAACACTTACAAAAGGAGAAAAGGTAACCCATTCCAAATTTATAAAACTGCTTAGACACTGTTAGATGCAATTTGCTAAAATTTTGAGCAAAAAATACATTAAAATTCATCAGCAATATTGGTCTGTAGTTTTTCTAATCTTCTGGTGTCAGCATTACATAAAACCAGGTGTGGTGGTACACACTTATAACTGCAGCAATCAGGAAGCAGAGGCAGGAAGATCAAGAACTCAAGGTATATAGCAAGTTAAGGCTATCCTGGGCTACATGAGAACCTGCCTCAAAAAATACAAATTAAAAACAATTTTTTAAAAAGCAAAACATATGTAAATAGCAAGGCATGGTGGCGCACACCTTTAATCCCAGCACTCAGAAGGCAGAGGCTGGAGGATCTCTGTGTGTTTAAGACATAGCAAGCTCTAGGCTGGCTCAGACTACAGGAAAACCCTGTCTCAAAAAGACAAAAAAAAAAAAAAAAAAAAAAATTCTAGCACTCTGGAGAAGAGGTAGGAGGGTCAGGAGTTCAAAGCCTACCTGGGCTACAAAGCAAGACCCACACATAAAGAGAGCCTGTGGTAGTTTGAACAAGAATGTCCCCCATAGGCTCCAAATATTCAGACATTTTGTCCCCAGTTAGTGGGGATGTTTTGGGAGGTCTTAGAAAGCATGATATGCTGGAGGAAGCATGTCACAGGAGGTGGGCTTAGAGAGTTCTTAAGCCTTGACAGGTCTCTAGTTGCTCTCTGCTTCCTGTGCCTGCTTGAAGATGTGTGCGCTTAGCTTCTGCTCCTACTCTAGCCACCTCTGCTGCCAAGCCTCCCTGCCATGATTGACTCTTGCTCCATTGGAACCATAAGCTAAATAAACTCTCCTTTTATAAGTCCCCTTGGTCATGTCTTATCACAGCAAAAGTAACTAAGAGAGAGCCTATATATGCAAATATATAACCTACCAATTAAATTTTTTAATTTTATGTGTATGAGTGTGTAGTTGTCTGCATCTGTGTAAGTGTACCCATGTCATGCAATGTCCAAGGAGTCATAAAAGAAAGTTGGATCCCCTGGAACTGGAGTTATGGATGGTTGTTAGCCACCATGTGGATGCTTGGAATCGAATCCAGATTCTCTGCAAGAGCAGCCAGTGCTCTTAACCACTGAGCCATCTTTCCAGCCCCATAACATACCAATTTTTTAAAAATCACAATAACCAAACACATATTACATGCTCATGGATACAAAGTCTCAATTTTAAGATGTCAATTCTTCATATCCTAATGTGTAGATTCAATACAAACCCAATTGAAATCTTAGAAAGCTATACTGTAGGTCTGAAGAAAGCGATCCTTAAGTTTATATGAAAGGGCAAAGAACTCAGGAGAGCCACCATAACATTGAAGAACAACAAAGTTGGAGGACTCATTTCTGGCTTTAAGATACATTAAGAGCTGGGTATGGTTGTGCACACCTTTAATCCCAGCACTTGGGAGGCAGAGGCAGGTGGATCTCTGACTTCAAGGCCAGCCTGGTCTATATAGTAAGTTCCAGGCCTGCAGGGGCTAGAGGGAGACCCTGTCTCAAAAAGACCAAAAAAGAAAAGAAAATTTAAAAAAATAAATAAATAAAATAAATACATATATGAGAAAAGATCAGTCAGCCTGGGCTATAGAGTAAGACCCTGACAGAAAGCAAAACAAAACAAAGCAAGAGACTTAGGAGGTCAAGGATCCCAGAATGTAATGCCAATTCAAGAAAAGCCTAACTTACTAAAAACGCATGAAACAATGTCATTATAAAGAATGGAGGAAAAGGCACTGACTTCTGGAAATGCGTATAGTCTTAAAAACTAAGAGCAAAAGGACGACAACACTGAACTTCTTTTCTAAAGCTACTGCTTACTTTATGTTCTTTTAACGTTATGAAAGTTACTACATTTACTGTTACTGTCTGGGATAACCTACCACAATTTCAGCTTCTTTAGGATGGGGCATTTTATTTAAAACTTAAAAATTTTTTTTTGAGAATTTCATACATGAATATTTTATTTGCATCATTACCATCTCTGCCAGCCCCCTTCCAACCCCTCCCATGCCCTCTTCTGATTTTTATTACATATACATTTGTAAATATATTCATATTTAATGCACTGAGTTCATTTAGTGGTGCTCATGTGTACATGTGTTTAGGGCTGTTCACTTGGGATTAGAACACCTGTCAAGGAGCCAATCCCCAGAGAAAACCAATTCTCCAGCCCTCAGCATCCACTGATTGCCTATGGTTCTTATCTAAAGATAGGAGTCTGTGAAATTTCCTCCATCCACACTAGCATGTCAAGTGGTTCTGCTATTCAGATCCTGTTAGGCTACCACACTGCAGAGAGTTCATGAGTGCAGCTTCCCTGTCATGTCTAGAATACATTATCTAGCAGCAGTCATCTTGTGTTTTGTTTATTTGTATATTCAGTGTCTTGGCCAGTGCCTGCCATGTAAGGTGTGCTTGTTGAGTATATACCAAAGTTTCCAGAGAAATGTTAACAGGGTGCTTCTCATATTGGCATTAGACTTCACAACAGTAACAACAGACACCAAAACAACGGAGCCATGTCTCTAAAATTAAAAAGCAGTAAGTGAAGCCAACCAAGTAAGAATCAACCAAGTATGAAGGTTGAAAAAAAATGCTTGGACACGAAAGTCACAAATTTTGCTTCAGTCTTTCTCAGGAATCTACTGAAAGATGTTTCTACAAATAAAGGGAGAAACCCAGAAGAGAAAGACCCGAAATCTAGGAAGCAAGCTATTCTACAGAAGAGAAAGACAAATGGAATTCACATGAGATCATAAAATGACAGCCCAGGAATACAGCTGTATGACAGGCCTAGAGAGTAGCCACCAAGACGGAAGCAGAGTGGCAGAAATCACAGGAAAGATGCTGCAAAGAGATCATCTGATAGAGCTGAAGCTCCTCTGAGATGACTGGCATCTCGTCTGAGGGGTTTATATGTAAACACTACAAAAGACATTAAAAAAAAAAAGATAGAAAATACATTCATAAGGCTGCATGAAAGAATTAATATAACTAGTAATGGAAGGAAAAGTCATTACATAGTGATACTAACACAAAGTAACTCAAAGTTGGCATGTAACTAGCTTGAGAATCTATAGGGAAAAGAATGTGCAGGGTCTAAAGAGAAGAGCTGACATAGAAAACAACTGCCCTCTATAATACAAAATGGTACCTAAAACCAGAGTACGGGAGGAGTGGAGAGGGAAGACGACTATATAGCTAACCATGTTATTTAGAAATATGGAGGTGAAAAACAGTTGAGGTCACTGGCTCTGGAACAGCCTTTCTCAGGAAAGGCTTTATGAGAATCCTGACTGCCCTAAGGCATCCACTTTAAGTAACAAATTAACTAGTTGTATCATTCATGAGAACAGAGAATAGTTGCTGATGATTTTCTGTGTTCTGTGCTCCACACAGGGAACCTAGATTGAGAAAGGCTTCTCTGGAGAGTGGGATTCTGGGTGAGAAAGACAGGGGCAAGTGACTATTTTTATTATAAGCCTAAAGTATCATGTAACACTTTATGTATAGTGATCCCTTTGAAAAAAAATTTAAGTGGAATTAAATAGGGACTGGAGAGATGGCTCAGCAATTAAGAGCACTGGCTGTTCTTACAGAGGACCTGGATTCAGTTCCCAGTACCCACATGGCAGCTAACAACTGTCAGTAACTCCAGTTTCAGGAGATCCAACTTTCTCTGACCTCTGCAGACACTGCAGTACACAGTTGCACTTATATACATGCAGGCAAAACACGTGTACACATAAAATAAAAATAATAAAAAATATTTTTAATTGAATTAAATATGTTTAAGAAAAAAAGAAAAAGGCAGGAGCAGTGGCACACACCTGTAATCTCAGCACTCAGGGAGCAGCCAGCATGGTCTAGATAGCAACTTCTAAGCCAGCCAGGGCTTCATGTTAGACATTGTCTCAAAGGCCAAAGTAGGGACTGGAGAGATGGCTCAGTAGTTAAGAGCACTGGTTATTCTTGCAGAGGACCCAGGTTTGGTTCCCAGCACCTACATGGCAGCTAATAATGATCCATAACTCCAGTTCCAGGGGATCTGATGCCCTCTTTTGGCCTCTGCTAGCAGCACATGCACATGGTACACTTAAATACATGCAGGCAAACCATTCATACACATAAAAATAAATTTTTTAAAAAGTCAAAAGTACAGCCGGGCGTGGTGGCGCGCACCTTTAGTCCCAGCACTCGGGAGACAGAGGCAGGTGTTTCTCTGTGAGTTCAAGGCCAGCCTGGTCTACATAGTGAGTTCCAGGACAGCGGGGGGTACAGCGAGACCCTTTTTCAAAAAAACAAAAAAAAAAAAAAAAAAAATCAAAGTACATAAATAAATATTTAAAATAGTAAAGGAACTCTAAATATAAAATATATTAAAAACAAACAAAAAAGCCAACTAGGTACAGTGGTGCATATCTTTAATTCCAGTACTTAGTGGGCAGAGGCAGGCAGGCAGGCAGGCAGGCAGATCTCTGTGAGACTGAGGCCAGCTAGGGCTATATGGAGACCCTGTCTCAAAAACACACCAGGGCCAGAGAGAGGGCTCAGCAGTTAAGAGCACTAGCTGTTCTTGCAGAAGACCCAGGTTCAAATCCCAGTGCCCACATGGCAGCTAATAACTGGCTGTAGCTCCAGTTCTAGGGGATCCAATGCCTTCTGTCCTCCATGGGCCCTGTAGGACATGGTTGCATTTGCATACATACACACAATACACACATACACATAAAATAAAAATAAAGCAAAACAAAAACAAAAACAAAAAAACACCACAGGGACTGGAGAGATGACTCAGTGATTAAGAATACTGGCTGCTTTTGCATGAGGGCCCAGGTTTGGTTCCCAGCATCCACATGGCAGCTAACAATTGTCTATATCTCCAGTTCCAGGGAATCCAACACCATCTTCTAGCCTGAGCATGCACTACATGCACTGGTACACTTACATACACAAAAGCAAACTTCATACACATAACCCAGCACCCACATAGTGGCTACGAACCATCCTTAACTCCGGTTCCAGAGGAATCTGAAGCCCTCTTCTGACCTCTGCAGCACTGCACCACACTGGTGTACTCACATACATGCAGGCAATACATTCATACACATAAAATAAAAATAAAATATTAAAAATATTTTTTAAAAAAATGTTTAAACAATAAAAACCAAACCAAACCAACAATGACAAACTGCTACCAAAAAGCTCCAAAAAAAGTTTTCCACCAGCAAAAGCTAGAGAATTAAAAAAAAAAAAAAATTACAGAATTCACTGAAGAACATCTATTTACAGAGCATCTCAACATAGTAATACAAGCATTATATTACTTCAGATGCCTTAAAAGATACAAAAAAGAAGATATAATTCAACAATTTGCAAAAGGTATGACAATGTAAATATATCACATGAGATCTTTTCACATGAACTACTACTAAGCTGTGTATTTTTCTCATTTCAAGCAAACAAAATGCACTTTTTGGGCTAGCATTCTACTGTACACAGAAGAAACAAATGAAGGTATGATTGCCCTCTGTTTTGAAGTTTATGTATGTGTGCAAATGATGGCTTCTTTAAGATAGTCTTACTAACTTGGCCATTTATATACTCCCGGATTTCCAAACAAAACTTTAAGGCATTTATTTTTTTAAATGGTTTTAAAAGTCTCTTCATGTTTCTAAAAAGCTGGTAATAGCATGGAAGAGTAATCAGAAAACAAGTCAATAAAGAAACTTCTAGAATGGTTCTGACGAGTGACCACAAGAACATGAGCAAACAGCGTGGAGAAGATGAAAAAGCAGCAGAAAACTGGCTAGAGAAAGCCAGACTGAAACAAAGAAGGCTGGGTAGCACCAGGCCTCCTGAGTGGTGCGTGGTTAGGTGGATGGTGACACCACTGACCACCACGGGCAATACAGGAAGAAGGGAGAACAGGGCTCACTTTGGACTACCACTCAAAGTACCTTGAGAACATCCTGTGGGAGATATCCAAGAGGCTGCTGAATGGAAGGACCTGGAATGCACAGAGAAATCTGAGATAGAGATTTGGAAACTGCCAACAGAGCAGTGAGTGGTGAGATCACCTAGGGAAAGAATATAAAGAGAGGAGCCTGACATTAGCTAACTAATAATCACAATTCATGTCCCAAAACCAGTCTGGATAAAACTCTGACCTGAGTTACATGTTAAACGAAAGAAAGTTGCAAAACTCTATGCACAATATAACCCCCCCCTTTTTTTCACAAAGAAGTTGTTTAAAATAATATTAACAAAAGCAATGGAAAATATGGAGAAACAAATATCAAACTAAAGCCAGGGAAGGGATTATGTAAGCCTCTCAGAGCTACACTGTACACCTCTATATTATTTTGCTTTTTACAAACAAGCATGTGCTTTGTAAACAAGGTAAAAAAAAGATAATTTTATTCTTTTTCTTAAAAATTACATAATGCAGATAGATGGGCATGGTGGCGCATGCCTTTAAACCCAGCATTTGGGAGGCAGTGGCAAGTGGGTACCTGTGATTGAGGCCTGCCTGGTCTACATAGTGGGCTCCCAGCCAGCTGGGGTACAGGGAGACCCTGTCTCAAAAATTATATAACACAACCTTACAATATAAAAATGGGGCTAGAAAGATGGCTCAGCGGTTAAGAGCACTAGCTATTCTTACAGAGGACCCGGGTTCAATTCCCAGCATCCACATGGCAGCTAACAGCTGTCTGTAACTCCAGTTCAGGGGATCAACCCCCTCTTCTGATCTCGTCAGTCACTGCACAGAACAGATGCACTTATATACGTGTAGTCAATACACTCATACACATGAAATATTTTTAAAAATATATTAGAAATACTGGACTATAAGTGGTTCAAATAAATTATACAAAAGGATAATATGATCATGGAAAAAAGTTCAATGTACCATTAGAATAATTAGGATTAAAAAAAAAATTGGTTGTTTCCTGAGTTGAAATATAAGAGTTTTTTTGTTTTGGTTTGGTTTTTTTTTGGGGGGGGGGAGGTCTTTTTGAGACAGGGTCTCCCTGTAGCCCCAGCTGTCCTAGAACTCACTATGTAGGCCAGGCTGGCCTTGAACTCACAGAGATCTGCCTGCCTCTGCCTCCCGAGTGCTGAGATCAAAGGTGGGTGCCACCAAGCCTGGCAAGGGTTTTTTTTTTTTTTTAAAAATAAGAATGATGTTGGTAAGGTATGATATTTAAGAAAGAATCTTGGGGCTGGAAAGATGGCTCAGCGGTTAAGAACACTGACTGTTCTTGTAGAAGACCGGGGTTCAAATCCCAGCACCCACATAGCAGCTAACAACTGTCCATAACTCCAGTTCCAGGAGATCCGACAGCCTCTTCTGTCTCCTGCCGGCATTGCACAACACGGGTGCACTTATCTACACATAGGCAATAAACAAATACACATAAAATAAAAATAATAAATAAAATATTAAAAAGAAAGAAAGAATCTCAACCGTTACTGACAAACGGATACAGCCTATTAGGCAAACCTAACTGTATGAAGCAATCACCTCAGGGGAAAAAATTCCTAGTATTTGAACTAGTAATTCTCTCTTTTAATTCAAGGAAAAAGACCAAAACTATTGAAAAGTATGCAAAGGCATTTCACTAACCATTAGGTGAATAAATCCAAGCACCAACCAACATGAAGACACAACATAAAATTATAAAGACATCAAAGGTAGTATTTATGTGCTTCAAAATACAAAAATGGACAAATTCTATGACTTAGCAATCCACCTCCAGAAAAATACTAACAACTGTGCACCAGGATGTATCATGAAGCACTTTCAAAGTTGCTCAGTTTCTAAGTATGAAATTCAACAAGAAAACAGCCTATTTATTTACTATAAGGTGATTAAATCAGCTTTCCCAAGCATTGCTGAGAACCCCTAAAAGTCCCCCAGAGGCATTTTGGGTCTTCCAGGTGTCCAGGTCTTCTCTTTTTCCAACTATGTAACTATGGAGGGATAGCCTTTTTCATAGGCTTTAATCTAAACAAGAGGGCACACCAGACTGAACTGAGAAATACAAGAATTCAGCTGTCTCTTCTAAGGCCAGACACTGAAGTGACTTGCCTACAGGTAAAACACCACCCCTTTCTCCCTGGGTTTAGTTTTAGAAAATATATTTTTCAGAAAAAATATTTAATGGGCGCACTGCTATTTTTACTTTTGTTTTGCTTTCTTTTGGGGACAGCAGCTCACTACATACACCAGGCTGGCCTGGAACCCAATCCTCCTGCCTCCACATCATTACTGCTGGTATTACAGTCATGTCCCACCAGGCTTCATCCTATTACTACTTTTTAATGAATAAATGAAAAAGATTTTCTGAGATTTAATTTCCATAATAGTAAATATACTGCTTGAGCACTTATTTCACTACTCAATAATTTTAAATGTGATTACCCTCAATCACAATGTTAACTGAACTGCAGTACTATCGTTACATAGCAGTGTGATTGGGAGTAACAACTAAAGAGGGATTTAGCTTTCTCTGTAACTACTTCAAAGGATGGTTTTGCTCATATTGTATGTGTACATTCAAAAGTCACAGCCATACTATGAGATTTTTTTTTAAAACAGGAAAGGCAAGCAAGAACCTGATCATCTTTTCTAATGTATAGAGGAAAGAAGACAAAAAAGTCAAAATGTTAAGTGGTTGATTAACTTCGCATGGTAGAACTATAATCATCTTTCCTTACTCCTTATTGTCTTTTTTAAAATAGCTTACCACTAAATATGTAATTTAATACCCAGGAAAAAGAAGTTACGTGAAAAATCACAGCGTTCTACTCAATCAAACCATTAAAGTTGTGTCAACTCAACAAACGACAAATTCTGAATGACGGAATCGAATTACATCAACAAATTATTTTCAAATAAAAAACTTAATATCAAATTTATGGGCTGGTTTTCTCACATGTAAAACCAAGAATATGAGTCCGGATTATAATAATTTGCAATCACGGTCGTACAAACAAATTAACGGTTAAAAGTAAGGTCATCTTTCCAAAGGCACCAAAGAAAAGGCAGCGGGAGGGACACCTTCGCATCTGTGCTCAGGTCCACCGAGTAGAGGCGCTTCAGGGAGCAGGCTGTGATGACAGGGCTGCGGGGACCAGGCAGCAACCACCCCCATCGGTCCCCGTGCCGGCCGGACCTCCGCACAGATCCAGGCCATCCGCCGCTCCGGGGTCGCAGGCAGCAGCGCCAGGTCCCGAGCGAGCCCGGCCTCCAGGAGGGGTCAGGCATCCCCGGCTCTGCGCGAGCACTCGCCCAGGGAGCCTTCGGCGAGCCCGGCTACCCACCGGGAGCGGGGAAAGGGCCCGGCCACAGCGCAGCTCGGCGAGCCGGCTGCCACCCCGCCCCTCCGCGGCCAGCAGTGCAGAGGACCGGCCGGGTGGTGGTTCCGGGGCTCTTACCTCCCCACACCCCGCTGGGATCTCGGGGGACTCGAGGCTACGCCGCAGTGAGGCGTGAAGAGCCACCCAGGCTGCGACAACCCGGACTGCGCGACGTCGACCCAGGGTACGTCCCCCTGACGACCCGGCCCAACACAAGGCGCAGGCGCGAAGCAGGCTTCCCCCCCCTCCCGCGCCCCCTCCCGGACGGGAGACCTCCGCGCCTGCGCGCTCCTCGGTGCGAGGCGGCGGCCTGCGGCTTACCGGAAGTGTGTGGTTAGGACCTGGGGAGATGGAAGCGTCTCGCTGAGACGGGGATCCGGAGCTAGGCTTGGAAGTAGTCTTGCGGCACAATGTAGCTTCTTCGCCCTTTGCTGTTTTCGTCAGCCCTTTTCCAGTCTCCAGCATGCGGGCTCTGGTCTGCACCCGACGAACCCGCCTGGCCTGCTCCTGTCCAGTCCCACGTCGCCCCCACCACACGCTCTGCGTGGCGGCCCGCAGGAGTACCGGAGCCTCGGGATGCGCTTCCCGTCCGCGGTGGACTGGCCATGGCCCGCAACAGCACCCCTCCTACTGACAGGGGCCACGTTATGTCCGTTGGAGCTAGTCGATCGAGCTTTGTTGATTTTGACCACAAGGGTTCCATAAATTTAAACGAGAGAAGAGATAACCTGGCATCAGACGGCCGGCTGTGCATCGTCTTTCAATCTGTAAGGGTTATCTCAGGAGTGTTTCTCTTGTGATTAGTGCTCACAGACCAGAATCGGGGCTCATATCCTACAGGAGCAATTTGCAGTTACAGTTTGTGGTCTTTAAGAGATACATAATCTCTTGTCTTGGTTTTCCTAAACTCTGCGATTGAGCTGTGTGATATTAGTTTGTTGGACGAAAGTAATTATCTGCTATGTGACAATGTGTTAGAGCTTTGCTTACATTATCTAATTAATCCTAAGAATAATTCCACCAAGTACAATATGCACTTTCTCTACTGTATGTTGGACACCTTTCACGGATAAAATGGGGGCCATTGCCCTTTTGGAACCACAGTCCAATAGTTGAGACTCATGTATACCTATTTATACTTGGGACAGAAGTGTCTATATAGTAAAGTATGGGAACAAAGAATAGAAATAAAAAATAAAACACTAACACTTTGAATAGAAAAGTGTATACATGTCAACTTATAAAATGTAAACAAATATCTACCACATTTTATGAAAGTTCAAGCTCATTAATGATAAAGACAAACAGTATATGCTCCTTAGGTCTAATTTACTAATTTGCTTAAAACATGAGTGTGTTGTGGACACCTTAAACCTTGGAGGGGATATAAATAGGGACAAATTGGAAAACAAAATAAGATTTTGGGAAGTTGTCAAATCATACCAAGAACCTTACAGATTTCATAACCTAATTCAACAACTTTCTGTTAGAAATTTTAAGGATCTATTTCAGAACAAAAATATGGGTAGAAATATTTACCATGATGTCCTAGTTAGTTTCTCCATTGCTGTGACAAAACACTGACCACTACCAACTTGGGGAGGAAAGGGTTTATTCACTCCTGGGTCACAGTTCATCAGCAAGTCCAAGGTAGGAACTCAGGGCAGGAACCTGGAGGCAGGAGCTGAAGCATAAGCCATTGAGGAATGCTGCTTACTGGCTTGCTCCTGTGGCCTTTGCTCAGCCTGCTTTCTTATACAACATAGGCCCACCTACCCAGGGGTGGCACCACTCACTGTGGGCTGGGCCCTCCCACATCACTCAATAATCAAGAAGATACCCCACAGATAAACCCACAGACTAGTCCAATGGAGGCAAGTCACCAATTGAGGCTCCCTATACCCAGGTGTGTCAAGTTGACACTAAAGTGATCCAGCACAATTGACCCCTTGCCAACTTGACACACGAAGACATCACTGTTAAACTGCAACTGTTCCATCTCTTGTCCCCAAGATATGTTAACATTAATATCACAACATAAGACACTACAATCTTAAAAGCCCCACAGTCCTTAAAAAATCCAAACACTTAAAAATTTCATCTCTTTTAAGTCTCTTACCTGTGGGCTCCTGTAAATCCAAAACAAGTACTGTCTTCAAAGGGAAGAATCCAGCACACCTAAGCAAAACCTAAGTCTAGAGAAGTAGCTCAAGGCTGGACATCTGGGATTCATTCACAATCTTCTGGGCTCCAAAGGGTCTGGCAGTTCCACTTCTCTGACTCTGCCATCCATAGCATACACAGTTTGTCTTGCAGACTGGCTCCATTCCACACCTGCTGCTGCTCTTGGTGGTCGTCCCATGGTCCTGGCATCTCCAGAAGCTGGGGTCACCACTGAAACTAAGCCTGCACCTTTGCCAATGGCCTCTTCTGGCCTGTTGGACTGTGAAACCTCAGATTCTCTCCATGACCCCTTCAATCCTAGGGTCTTCACTGCAGCTAAGGATGCACTTTCACCAATTGCTTTTCCTGGTCTCTCAGGGTATCAAGCCTCAGCTGTTTCTATAACTCCTTCATGTTTTCAACACCAGAACAGTGCAGGAGACTCTTACACATTACCAAGTTCTGCTTCCAGCTAGAGTTGGAACCTCAGGCCCCCTCTGGACTAAAACTTCTCGGATTCTGACCCTGAGGAAATACTTCCCAGATTTCACCCACAGTGATGCTGGTCTCTTGTTACTTACGGCTGATTTTTCAGCCCCAGTCAACCAGCATGTTGTCTCAGTAAAACAAAAGTTTTATTTCAGGTTCTGGTCTCTTCTTAATCACAGCTGATTCTTCAGCCCTAGCAGACCAAAACGCACAGATTCTCAATTCAAATTATCATACAAACATCCCTGGTAGTCTCTGCTTCCCTTTGAAACTTCACTAAGCAGGCCTACATGGTCCACAACTCTTTCAGCATAACTGTCCCAAGCTCCACAGCAACAAACTCAAAGCCTTTTCCAGTCCAAAGTTCCAAACACTTCCACAGTCCTCTCTGAAACACCAAGGTCAAGTCTATCACAGCAATACCCCACTCTCTGGTACCAATTTCTGTCCTAGTTAGTTTCTCCATTGCTGTGACAAAACACACTGACCACTACCAACATGGGAGCAAAGAGTTTATTCGGCTTACATCTCCTGGGTCACAGTTCATCAGGGAGCCCAAGGTAAGAACTCAAGGCAGGAACCTGGAGGCAGGAGCTGGTGTACAGGCCATGGAAGAATGCTGCTTACTGGCTTGCTCCCCTGGCCCCTGCTCAGCCTTATGCAACACAGGCCCACCTGCCCAGGGCTGGCACCACCCACAGTGGGCTGGGCCCTCCCACATTGCTGAATAATCAAGAAGATGCCCCAAAGATAATAGCCACAGATCAGTTCAATGGAGGCAATTCACCAATTGAGGCTCCCTCTAGGTGTGTCAAGTTGACCCTAAAGCTATCCAACATACATGACAAAATTTATCTTTTAAAAATTGATAGAAGGGCTAAGGAGATGACTCAATGGGTAAAAGTGCTTTCTGTGCAAACCTAACAACCTGAGTTTGGCTCCTCAGAACCCATGGAATAGCCTGGTACAGTAGAAACTCCTAGACCAGGACACAGTGGTAAAGGGATCCTGTCTCAAACAAGGTGAAAAGGCCAGGATGGATACATAAGGTTGTCCTCTTATGTCCACAGACACATGTGTCAGCACCCACACACAAACATGAGTACACACATACACTCACACATCACATCACACAAAACACACACACACATACAATCAACAGCAGTCTAAAATTCAACATTGAGGGACTGATTTAAAACTGAAAGTTATATTTACAAAGAATTGCTAATAACTAGGAAATCAACTCAGGAAAAAAACATTAAATGACATGAGGGTTTCTGTAGTGCAAAGTAAACTACAAAACATACAAAATTGTGAAGAAAGTTGTGAGGACCTAAAGGCCCCACCTTGCATAGGTCTGAAAGGAAGTTACTGGGGGGTGCAGCCTGGCTTGCTTTGAAAGTCTGAAGAATACTTCCGCACTGCTGAGGAGTGCATGATCAGTGCGTGACCATCCTTAAGATACACCCTGGCCGGGGAGGAGTACCAGGTGCCTTTATAAGCTTTGTAACACCTGCAATAAATGAGTCCCTGGTTGACTAGAATCCCCGTTGCATCTGAGTTTCCCCAGGTAATGGGGGTGGCGTGGGCTGGTGAACAGCATGCTTACTTATGCCCAATCATCACCTCCCCAGGGGTCGCTGGTTCTAACCCCCGGCAACTAGCACTCAGCGTGGCGCTCGAAGGAAGGTGAAAAGAAGAAAAGAAAGAAGAAAGAAGGGAAATGGATTGAGGCCAATCAAGAGGTTCGGGGTAACCAAGACCCTAAATATGGGTAATGCAAATTTTAAGTTTGAAGACCTGGCACTTAAAGCGCTGAGAGATATACTTAAAAGCAGGGGATTGAATTTGTCAGATCCCATAGCTCAAAAGGTTTGGGCAGAGGCGATTCATTTGGCTCCCTGGCTACTTGGGGCTAATGTTTTTACTGGAGATACATGGGAATCATGGGAAGGGTTTGAGGAGGAAGGAAATGCAACAGAAGTAAAACCAAAAACGGCCAAAGTAACAAGCGGCACCTCTGGTGTGCCCTGGCCAGCTTCAGAGCCTCCCGGGCAGAAGGGTGGGGTGGAGCGGAGTGCACGGGGTCAGCAGCAAAAGCTGCCCACCCCACCTGCCTTGAACTAATGCGTGGTGAGCCGGGTGCATTTGAAAACAACAACAACAAAAAAAAAACAAAAAAAAAAAAAAAAAAAACAAAAAAAAAAAAAACAAAACCACCTTTGGTGGTGCACTGACAGCTGAAAAGGCCCAGGGGAAGGTGGCTTGGGGAGGGGCCCAGCCCCTTCAGTTCAGGCGGGTGGCCAAGGGACCACCCTGCCCCCGAGTGTTACAGCCCTGCGGGCAGCAGCACTCACCAAATCCCAGGCCGAGGGAGCCCTTAGTAAAGCCTATGATGTTTTCACTGACTGGGGCAGATGTGGAAAAACCAAAAAGCAGCTCAATTCAAGGAACTCATGGCCATTGCTTTCTGACAGTATTCAGACTCATACGCTTCTTAAAAAGAGAGAAGCCCCTATCTTCTTACAGCGTCTTAGGGGGCACCAAGGATTGCCTGGTCTT